TCAGAGATATTGCAGGTTCAGTTCCAGACCACCATGATGAAGCAAATATCAAAATAAAGCAATTATCATAATAAAGCAAGTCACACAAATTTTTTGGTTTCCCAGTCATATAAAGGTTATGTTTATACTATACTGTAGTCTATTAAGTGTCCCATAGCCTTCATTGTGCCTAAAAAATGTACATAATTTAATTTAAAAATACTTTATTGCTACAAAAAAGTTAACAGTCATCAGAGCCTTCGAGTCAATCTTTTTGCTGGTGGAGGATCTTGCCTCAACATTTATGGCTGCTCAATGATCAGAGTGATGGTTGCTGATGGTTGGGGTAGCTGTGGCAATTTATTAAAAGAAGACAACAATGAACTTTGCTGCATGAATTGATTCTTCCTTTCATGAAAGCTTTCTCTGTAGCATGTGATGCTATTTGATAGCATTTTACCCACAGGAGAACTTCTTTCAGAATTGGAGTCAGTCCTCTCAAACCCTGCCATGGCTTTATCAACTAAGTTTATGTAATATTCTAAATCCTTTGTTGTCATTTCAACAATGATTATAGCATCTTCACTAGGAGGAGATTCCATCTCAAGAAACCACTCTTTGCTCATCCATAAGAAGGAATTCCTCATCTGTTAGGGTTTTGTCATGAGATTGCAGCAATTCAGTCACATCTTCAGGCTTCACTTCTAATTCAAGTTGTCTTGCTATTTCTGCCACATCTGCACTTACTTCCTCCACTGAAGTCTTGAACCCCGTGAGGGTTAGAATGAACTTTTTCCAAACTCTTATTAATGTTCATTTTTTGACTTCCTTCCATGAATCATGAATATTCTTAGTTGCATCAAGAATGGTAAATCCTTTCCAGAAGGTTTTTAGTGTACTTTGCCCAGATCTACTAGAGTAATCACTATCTTTGGCAGCTGTTGGCTTACAAAATATATTTCTTAAATAATAAGACTTGAATGTCAGAATTATTCTTTGTCCTGTGGGCTGCAGAATGGATGTTGTGTTAGCAGGCCTGAAAACAGCACTGGTCTCCTTGAACATCTCCATCAGAGCTTTTGGGTAACTGACCATGTGCTTATCAGTGAGTAATAATTAGAAAAGAATCTTTTTTTCTGAACAATGGGGTCTCAACATTGGGCTTAAAATAGTCAATAAACTATGGTGTAAACAGATGTGCTGTCATCTAGGCTTTGTTCATCCACTTACAGAGCACAGGCAGAGTAGATTTGACATATAATTCTCACGGGCCCTGGGATTTTCAGAATGGTAAATGAGCATTGGCTTCAACTTAAAGTCGCCAGCTAGCTGCATTAACACCTAACAAGAAAGTCAGCTTGTCCTTTGAAGCTAGACATTGACTTTTTTTCTTTAGTTATTTGTCCTAGTTGCCATCTTTTTCCAATATAAGGCTGTTTTGTCTATATTGAAAATCTGTTGTTTAGCATAGCTACCCTTCTTTAATAATCTTAGCTAGATCTTCTGGATAACTTCTTGCAACTTCTACATCAGCACTTGATACTTTGTCTTGCACTTTCATATTATAAAGACAGCTTTCCTTAAACCACATGAACCAACCTCTGCTAGCTTCAAACTTTTCTTTTACAGCTTCCTCAACTCTCTCAGCCTTCATAGAATTGAAGAGACTTAGGACCTTGCTCTGGTTTAGACTTTGGCTTAGGAAAATGTTATGTCTGGTTTGATCTTCTGTCCAGACCTCTAAAACTTTCTTCATATCAGGAGTAGGCTGATATGCTTTCTTTTGCTTTTTTATCATTCATATGTTCACTAGAGTAACGCTTTTAATTTCCTTCAAGAACTTTTCCTTTGTATTCACAGTTTGGCTAACTGGCAAGCTTTTGGCCTCTGTTGGCTTTCAGTGTACCTTTCTTACTAAGCTTAATCATTTTTTGCTTTTGATTTAAGGTGAGAAGTGCAACTCTTAGTTTTACCTAACACTTAGAGGCCGTTGTAGAGTTATTTATTGGCCTAATTTCAGTGTTCTGTCTCGGGAGACCCAAGAAGAGGGAGAGAGACAGTGGAATGGCTGGTTGGTGCACAACATTTATCAATTAAGTTTGCCGTCTTAAATGGGTATAGTTCGTGGCATTCCAAAACAATTACAGTAGTAACATCAAAGATCACTGGTCATAGATCACCATAACAGCTTTAATAATAATGAAGAAGTTTGAAATACTCTGAGAATTACCAAAATGGGACACAGAGACCTGAAGTTAGCATATGCTGTTGGAAAAATGGAATCTATATACTTGCTTGTTGCAAGGTTGCCACAAACCTTTGATTTGAAAAAAAAAAAAAAAAGAAAAAACATAATAAAGCCAACTACAATAAAATGAGGTATGCCTGTACTTAAAATAAGTGATTATATACTGTTACTTGATAATTTTCAAATATTTAATAGTTGTAAGTAGAACGCCATTTATGGACTGAAGTAGGATGGTATTACAAAATAAAATTGAGCAAATAAAAATGTGTTAGATAAAATAATTTTGATTATCATTAATTTATAGTTTGATTAGTCTTTTTACAAATACTACAATACTTTTTGTTTGCTTTTACTATCTTTTTAAACATTGGTATTTTTATGCCGTGTACAAGTGAAATTTGTTTCAAAACCGTTATGATGTCCTGCAGCATATATTCTTAAGTCCTCATATTGAGTAAGTGATA